AGACATCAAGATTAGGCTTGCAGGAGGCATTGCTATTGCCAGTTTCGTTTACTAGAAATATATATAAATATACATATTTTTATAAACAAAACTTTTTATTCTGGATGAGATTGAGCAAGTTCAAAAAGCTAATTCATAGACCCCACTAAAAGCCTACATAAACAGACACATAAAAGATGAACAGTGAAAGGCAAAACATCCTCTTCCTCTGCCTCAGCAGCAGATTTCACACAAGCCTGCCTTTTTGTGCCATGGTGTCCATCATTAAATCTCCATTAGGGATGGTTGGTGGATTGGTCATCAGCTAAACATGCCAAACTTACCAGCTGGGAAACAAAAGTCCAGGGAAAAGAAAAAAAAAAAAAAAAAGGCACTTATTCAAGGTTGCAGAGTGACCTGCTCCAGTTTGCATAGTAAGGATTTCAGTTATAAAACAAATAGCTAAATGCTAAATATAGCCAAGGAGGAGGCTTTAATCACCAGGGCAGGCTTCATGATGACAGGAGCCACTGAGGTAGCACAGCACACGATGTGTGACAGCCAAATATGAGGCTAAAAAGCCCATTAAACACGTAAGTGGAGAGGCCTCTCTTCCTCTGGAGGTTTGTTCCCCAGCCAGGACGGTCCCTGCACCCAGGGGAGGCACTTGCAGGTCACGAGTGGGAGTGTTTGCAAGGGATGGGAAAGTGCTGTGTATTCAACAGGCAGCTGCTTTTTGTGCCTGTCAGGACCACTGAAAAGTTGCCAGCGCTAATTAGAGGACACAGAAGTTTTCAGAGCATGATGCAACAGATAAAGAGGGGAGGAATATGCCAAAGGAAGAGAAAGAACAGGCCAGCCAGGGGAAGCCTTTTGTCAGTGACTGTGCCAGAAGCTGGTGCCTCAGGCTGGGAGCCTCCTCTGCCCCTCTGGAGGATGTGCTGCAAAAGAAATGGTGCTGGGTTTTGTTTTTGGTCATTGAAACACCTTTGTGCTTGTCCTTTGTACAGAAACAGGCAGAGACACAAAGTGACAATGACAGCGACAAAACAAAGGGGAAGACACATGGTACAGCAAGAGCTCAAACTGAGCCAGGCTGCCCAGGGTGGCTGCAGAAAACCCCTCATCACTTCACTGTTCTTTAAAAAATAAATTAAAATCTTCAAACCTCCGTCTTGAATGGCAGAGATGAAGACAGACCTAACCAGGAACAGACAGATGGATCAGATGATTTCTTGAAGTTTCTGTAAAGCCCTTCCAGTGTAACCAATATCCATCCACGTATTCTTTACTACACTATGCAAGTTATTCACTAAAATAAAATAGAATTAATTTTGGCCAATAGCTCTGGCACAAGCAATGCAATTTTATTTGCATTAACTTTTAAAGGAAAAATGTGTGAAAGCACAGGAGAGGGATTTAAAAGTACCAAAAAGGGACTTAAAAGTTCCAAGATCCACATATCCAATACCCCAGAGCATTTCATTCACAAGCCTCAGAGGAGGTCAGAGCTTCAAAACCTGTTTTATACCTGGAGAAAAAAGATACAGAGAAGGAAAAAAAATTTCCCAAGATAATTGAAAAAACAGTGGCAGAGATGGCACTGTTATGTCCCTGAATATCCAACCCACCAAAGGCCACGGCAAGGCCTTCTGAAGTGTTTACTTTAGAGATACAGAGTATAAATATTTTCAAAAATAATCGTTTGGCTTTCCCAGGCACAAACAGAGTTATCAAGGGAGTCAACAGCACAGTTTAGAACATTAACTCTCGAAATAAACCAAACCAAGTTCAGATTCCCTTTGTGCTTCAGCAGACAGGGATGAGGAGATGGAGACTTCACAGCTGGCTCAGAACCCAAAACGTGGAATTTCACCAGTCTATGCCACGTATCTCTACAACTATGCAGGTGGGTTAAACATTAGCTCAGTAAAAATAAATCACTGAAAGGAAACTACAACTTAACTTCAGTGCCAATTCAAGCCAGCATCGTATTTTAGTCCATCATTCTGGAGTAAAAAAAAAAAAAAAAAAATGGAAACTGTGACAGCAAAACACAAAGCTTGGTTTTCCTTCTTCGCACATCTTTCTTTGCTTGTGCTGCATCTGAATCAACCATGGTTGTTTTACAGACGCAGTTTCACTCATTTAGAATGGAGTAATAAAAATGGTACCACTACACAGGAATGATTTCAAAAAAATCTGATGCAGAAATACTGTGGGTTTGTTATGGGTTTTATTTAAAGGAGGTTTCAACGGGATTTCTTTTTTTTTCAGGAATAGCACAAAGTATCAGTTTAAGGTGCCAGACTCAGTCACGTGCAGTGAAGTAATTTTTCCACAGCAAGAGCTGCAGCACAATCACATAAGAGCAAGAAATTAAATCCAGCTACGAGGGAAGCGAATTTGCTTTATCCTGTTTAGCATCAGAAAGTACAAGAGACAAAAACCCAGCACACAGGGTGCTCTCAGCAGGGCAGGAAAAAGGCTCGAGGTCGTGGTGGTACCGCAGAGAGAGACTTGGTACAATGATGCTGTGAGAGTTGTGTGTGCCTGACAGTGTCAGCAACAGAGACAAGGAAGACAGACACAGGGGGAAGGCAGGATTAGAGTAGGACTCTGGAAGAACAAGCCCAATTCCTTTCTCTAACGTGAGCTTCTGCAGTGACCTTGGAAAGCTCAGCTTGATTCAGCAACTTAACGGGGTTGTTTTAGAAAACTGACCAGTAAAACAAAGGCCAAGGCTTGCTGGGGGCCGGCATCACCAGTGCTATCAGCCAAGGTGCTCTCCCTGCCTAACAAGACCTGAATTCTACCACAAATATCACGAGGGCAGCGATAAAAGAACAGCAGACAGACATTGCAGACCGTTAAACTCAGTAACAGAGCAGCAGGAAAAAAATAATGCTGTCTGACTCCATATCAGCGACTTCCTTGGTGATTCTCATGCTCAGACCTCTTGGGAGATGGAAGGGAAAACAGGTCACAAGGTGATTGTAAAAGATATTTATGAAAAAACAGATCTCTCTATAAATAACAATAGATATCCCTATAAATAAGTGCACATCAGAGTCTAATGTAGGTTAGCAACAAGTCAATAAGGTCTGGCTACCCAGATCTGGGCTTTCCCAGAGCTGTAAAAGTATCCAAACCTTGCCATGCATTGTGTACACTCTGCAAAGTGGGAGCAACACCACATACCTGGGGGAAGGAACTTGCTTTATGCATTGCCTCTTGTCCTCATCAGAATTATGACACCCTCTCCAAAAAGAAAAAAAAAAATCCTTAATTTCCCTGAGTTTCATGGATATGGGCAGAATTTGGATAAATAAAACCAACAACCTCAGTGAGGAGGTGGGATCTGTGCCCTGACCTATTTTAACCCATCAAAACTGGCATGTGTGCACTTATACAGCCACATCCCTTGGCACCTGAAAATCCCTCTTTGGAGTTCTTCATCGTCTCTTCTGCCAGAGCAAAAGCACAAATGGGGAGAACGAAAAACCAGGAACTGCTACTTGCTGGAATAAACTATAGTAACCTCCAAGGCTAGAGGGGCACATACCAACCCCTGGCCTAAGCAGACAATCCCATCCATACCCATCCTAAGAGCATCTCCTGGAACACACAAGTTTTCCCCCAGTTGAAGGCAGCTCCACATGTGTAGTGTTGCTGAGATGACAGATGGGCTCCAGCACAGCTTCTCCCTGCCCTGGCTGGTGCTGTTTCCACTTGTGCCCTGTCTCAGAGCTGAGCCTTTGAAGTCCTGTACTCCCAGGGATTTCTGGCAGGCAGTGACAAGTTTCTTGAGAGCACAGTTGTTTGACGCAGTCTCCCTCCTTCCTAATCCCTGGCAGGTTGTAACAGCAGGCAGGTAATTTCTTAAAATGCCAAATATCAGACCCAACTTTAAGATCAGGCAGCTGCACCACGTTTAAAACATCACCACCCCAGCAAGGACGGGTCTGTGCTGATTAGAGGGGCTCTCTTGGAGCACCACTGGGGAGAGGAATGCTGCTAGCAGGCAACTGGGCAGAGGCTAAGGCCAACAAGCCTGGCCAGGCACTCCAACCATATCTCTGTTCACACACAGACCAGTTCCTGAGTCGCAAGTCACCCCCGAGGAAACACTTCCAGCCAGCAGTAATAGATGGGCTGGCAAAACCTGACATCCATTCCAGCACGGTGAGTTTCTGAGACAAGGTTTCCAGGCCCGTGAGACTGATGCTCAACAGAGCAGCAAATAACACTCGGTGCTGACACAGTGCTTTGTCTCCCACGACTTTGGAAACGCCGCTGCAGCCTGCCTGGATACCGTGCAGATAACAACTTGTGCCTCTGCCTGCATCCCTGACTGCTGCCTCAAACAGCCCCTTTGCTGGTTTGTGTCAGGAGATGCGAGGGGCAGACCCCTGCTCACAACCTGAGCACTGTGCCAGCGCCAGCAGCCCGATCTGGGCCTTCCTCGGCAGCGCATCTCCTCGCAGCAGACAAACCCCCACATCAGATCCCGCAGGACGCAGTTAATGTCGATATCTCGATCGCTAAATAGGAAAAACCCAGCGGGGACACCGAGCCCAGCACGCAGCCCAGCCTCCCGCAGACAAAAGGCAGTTCTCCTCCCGTTTCAGACCCAGAACTCGCTCGACACCGAGCCGCGGATGCTGACACCCACTCTCACCTCCACCTCCGCGGCATCAGGCCGCTCCCCCCGCGCCGTGACCCAGCGGGGAGCCCACCCCGCGCCCTGCCTGGGGAGGGGCGGGTGGGTTCGCAGCCCCCGAGCCCCTCCCGCCGCCGGTGGGTGCCGGTGCTGCCCAGCCGGGGATGCGGCCGGGATGCCGGCCCGCTGAGGATGCTCCGTGCCTTTCCCACCCCAAGGACAATGCGTGCGGCGGCCGAGCCTCCCCCATCGCTACCGAGCGGCGCATCCCCGCGCTCCTCCCGCACCCTCTCCATTCATCCCCCCCCTTTGTTGCGGGCTGGCCGGGCGCTCCCGCTCCTCCCGCCGTCCCCCTTACCCTGGGGCTGCCCGCCGGAGCGGGGCGGGGGGCTCGGTGCCACCGCACGATGCAGCCCCGGCGGCCGCCCTGCCACTCCCTGCGCGGGGCCGAGCCGGGAGGAGGGAGCTGGGCGGCGGCTCGGAGCGGCGGGGGCGGGGGAGGATGCGGGGCCGGAGAGGATGCGGGGCCGGCACCGCCGCTCCCTCCCTCCCTCCTTCCCTCCCTCCCTCCCTCCTTCCCTCCCTCTCTCCGTCCCTCCCGGCGCACGGCCAGGCCCCCGCGAACAAAGGGGGCCGATCCGGGGCCGCCCCGCGCCGAAATCCTCCTGGTTGCCGAGCCCCGGCGCCGCCCGGAACCGGGTGGGAGGGTGAAAAGGCAGCGCGGTGGCTCCTCCTGCCTTAAAAAAAACCCCATATAATAACTATAAGTTCACCTTTGGTTCGCCTCGGCCGCGGCCTCGCTCCGCGCGGCGCTGGGAATGAGGAGCGCTCCAAGCACACCTGAATTTAGGGTGGGAGCGGGATTGATTGATGCAAGAAGGGCAGGAGGAGCTGGCGGTGCTTCCTGGAAAAAAAGGAGAGAGCCCTAATTACCGGGATTTATTGGGGAATGCAGCAAAGAGAAAGCACCTGCAGCCTCGGAAACTCGTTCCTTCAAAGCCAGGAAGGGCGGAGGGAGGTCATGATCATCACTTGGCCCCCATCACCTCCTGATGCTTCCCAGAGCCGTGCCTGGACTGACATGCATGGAGATATAATGGAGCAGGGCCACAGAAGAGTTCAGGTTGGAAAAGCCCTCTGAGATCATCGACTCCAACCGTTCCCCCAGCACTGCCAAGGCCACCGCTGACCCGTGTCCCCAAGTGACACATCCACATGTCTGTTGAACCTCTCCAGGGATGGGGACTCCACCACTGTCCTGGGCAGCTGTGCCAGCACCTGACAAGCCTTTCAGTGAAGCAGTTTTCCCAATATTCAACCTAAACCTCCCCTGGTGCTACTTGAGGCTGTTTCCTCTGGTCCTGTCCCTTGTGCCCTGGGAGCAGAGCCCAAACAACACCCCCAGCTCCCCCCTCCTGTTCGGGAGTTGCAGAGAGTGAGAATGTCCCCCCTTAACCTCCTTTTCTCCAGGCTGAGCTCCCTCAGCAGCTCCTCACCAGAACTGTGTTCCAGACCCTTTCTGCCTCCAGTCCCCTCTCTGGACCTTCCACCCCCGCCTGGTGCCAGTGCTAAGAAATTGCATCCCTGGAGTGGAAGTGCTTTCACAAGGGCCATAACTCTCCTCAGTGTACTTTACTACCTCTGCACACACCTCACATCACCCAAGGGGCAGCCCAGGAGATTTTGCACGTCAGATCCTACAGTGGAAGGCCCCAGACCATGCAGAAAGAGAGGAGGGTCCCAGCCAGCAGCGATTCCAAAATTTATTGCTGTGACTGCTCCGTAGCCCCTGCGTGGGCCCTGGAAAGCAGAAGGGAGATGTAAGTGAGGGAGATGCACTCAGCAAAGCAGAGAAGAACGGGGCTGAGGTCAACTGAGCATCAGCCAGAATATGAGATTTGACAGCCCTGGCCTTAGCAAGATGATCCAGCCCCAGGGGGCAGCCGTAGGCATCCTCATTTTCCATCTTGCAGAGGGGAAGCCAAAGTAAAGAGAAGTGAAATGGCTGGTCCAAGCCAAAAATAGAACCTGGAGCACCTGACTCCAACGCCTCTGCTTCAACTGCTAGTTCAGTGTCTTTCCCTGGCATTTTCCTACATCCAAGCTCAAGTCATTGCTTTGTGGTTCTGGATGCAAGAAATTTTTGTCTCCTCTCAAATTTGTAGTTGCCTAGGGAGACAGTATGTCATCAGGAGAAGAGCTAGATGAGAAGGTGCCTATTGAATCAGGCTTGGATTCCAACAGGACCTCTTGTTTCTCCATCCAGTTCCACCCCTGGTTTGGCAGCTCAGCCAGTTCCTGTCCTTAGGTCCAAGTCTCTTTCCGTATCCAAATGGTGGTGGAGCAACAACGGTGACCTCCCTTTGCAACTTCCAGAGAGACTAATGAGAAATGTTACGTGTAGCCATGCATTTGGTAAGAAGGAGGAGTGAAAATTTAAAGCAGATTTGTTAAATTAAAAAAAAAAAAAATCCTCTTTAATATTTTCAGGTGCCTCAGGGCAGGATTTCAAAAATTGCTTAGAAGTTAAACCTCATTTTTGCACATTTTTATGCTCTATCTTACACACACTAATTTGTTCTTAGTATAAAAACTTCCACTTAAATGTTTAAATTACAGCCCTGTGTCTGCATTAAAACAAAGAAAGTCAGCAAGTCTGGGGTTATATTTTGCCTGCCAATGGTCTGTGGCACCCAGAGCAGCTCCGAGAGGAGGATCGAGCCCACTGGCTTCAATAAGATGAAGCTAGAAAAAATTTCACAGCTCTTAAGTCATTTCCTTGAATCATTTTGACAAATCTGCCTCTCTGACTGAACTTTCTCAGGGGAATTTCCATGGAGAGAAAGAAAGATCATCCAGGGCCAGAGCTCTGGCAGTGATGTGGCTGAAGTACCCGTAGACTTGAATTTGTGTCTCTGCCGTCAAGTGCTCTCCTACAAAGCTTTTGTCGTACCTGCTTGTCACAAGGGATGACTATAAATGTTGAAGTGCCATCATCCCACAGGGTGGTGCTACTATTTCCCAGTAACCATTTATTTATTCACAGGGGCTGTGTGCAGGCAAATAACCCCACCCTACTGTCCCAGGCCCAGGGGAGCACAGGAGACACTTCAGTTCCAGCCTATGAAGGTGTGAGGACTTGTTAAAATTTACACAGGTGAGCAGAGCCATGACTTTAATTAAACCATTACGTAGAGAGCTGGTGTGTGATCTCTGACATCTCTGGGCTGTCACATTTGCCTGATAATAGTCTTTACTACCCTCCTATTTTATGTGATATGATATTTATCTTGTTTTGAAAAGTGGCTTCTCACAGATAGTCAAAACTGTCTCCACTTGACTGATCCATTCTTGTGATTTGATGAATATTTGCATTAGCTGTTGGCATCTCTAAAAAGCTCCACTGCTGTTTTCTTTTACATTATCCTGACAAACTGGAGCATTACACAGACAATGTAGTGTATAAACTAAGGGAATACTCACACCTGCCCCTGGGGAACCCAAAACAGCAAACTTTTTGTGTTTTGCTGTTATCTATATTGTTTGAATAAAGACAGACAAAATGTTCAAGTACCTTTCCATTTTATGGAACAGGAGACGAAGCACCTCTGCAAAGAGCTGATGAGACACTTGATTTGTCATGTACCAATAGTTTATGCTCCCTAAAGCTCCAGTGCTGCTCTTGTTCCCCAAAGGCAGCAACCTTTAAGAGGTGACAGAGAGCACATACAAGCCACGGGAAGTGGTGACATCAGGACCCCAGATGCCAGCTGGGGTTGACAATTCAGAGTTGAGTCCTTTCCTACCACGTGCCTAGAAACCCCTGCCGAGTAAATCCCTTTGCCCTGCCTATGTCCTGTGGGGACTGGGTGGTGGCAGGAACAACTGCATTTGAAAATACTGTGCAACTTCGCTGCTGTCAACTGGCAGTTCTGTGATTTCCAACATCTCACAGCCGCAATGAGAGCCCAAGTTCTCACTGTTCATTCATGCTGGCACTATAAATAGGCTGCTGCATTTGGGGGCAGAGCACGAAATTCCAGCATTGGTGGGAGGAACAAGATTAAAGCAGTGATCTAAAGAAAAGCTGTTTTTTGCCTTTGATTACAGAGCTGCTGAAAGACCTTCTCATCCTGAGGATCAGTAGTTGCTTTAGGCCTTACCCATTCTAGGCCAAGACTAAAGTTCAGAAACTTCTTGTAAACAGTAGTTAAATTAAAATTAGGAGCTTACACAGTTGCAACGATTCAGCCAAATGGCAGCATGTTTTCAGGCATTTGTTATCCAGCCCAATACCGCTGCAAAGCCTCTAATATCCAGCAGATTCTGTTGTATCTCCTTAGGTGAGAGAAACCTCTCATCTTCAGACATTTATATCCGAGCCAAATGTCTAGACTTCGTGTGTAATGAGTGCAGAGAGACAGGCACTGGGGTGGAATTCCCCCCATCGTACTGCAGACATCAAAAAATGGATTAATTGCTCTCTAACAGTGCTCAGCTCAGTTATAGGGGTAGTCAAGAATCAGCCAAATGAGATGTTTAAAGATAAGTGGTAAGAATCCCACTCATCTTCCTTCCAGAAACACTCAGCACAGCTGATGGAGCTTATTTGGGTGCACAGACACGCGTGTTGGGTACGTTCCTGTCTGAAGGCCTCACTTTGTTCTGCTCACTGAAAGTAATGAGACTCTTGGCCAGGGTTCAAGATCTGGCTCCAGGATCCTTCAGGGGAGCACACGTGGCTTGTGCAGTGTGATGGAAAGTGCTCTGGAAAAGGCTTTTTTACCAGGCTGACTGCTGAGAGTTCCTACCTACTCCCTAACATAAAAGGAAGTGTGGGTGGAAATATGTTGAAGGATCATGGCAGTTCTCATTAATTATGAAGATCAAGAGGAGCTTGCACTGCTTTTTTGGTGTATTTCCTATACTGAAATTAGTGCATTAACTGTTACTTAAACTTCCCCCATCAGTATAATTTAATCATTAGCACAGTCTGGTTCCTGTTGTTCTACATTTTTGAAGTAAACTACCTTGTTGCAGTGATTCTAAGGAATGTGGGACAGCACTCCACAGAAATACAAACCATTAAAATTGGACAGCATTGCATGGCCAAAGACATGGTGACATTTTCATCACAAAGGCTGTTTCCTGTACACAGGCCCAAAGACAAGTGGGCTGAGAAATTCAGCCTCCCTTAACTGGAGGCCTTCTGAAATTGTTTGGCCAATCAACCTACACAAGATCACGCTGTCAATGGAGAACTTGGAATAGCTCTTTTATTAAGTCAGTAGATTATCACCAGTCTTTCATCTGAAGATGAAGCTGCTCTTTACAGATGAAGTAAATGACTCATGGAAAGAAAAAAAATAAGGTATCTGTGATCACCCAGCTGAAACAGAAATATGTTGGTCGGCATCTGCATTTCAGAGTCAAACATCTACAACT